CAAGACCCAGCTATACTACTCTTGGGCATATACCCAAGGAATGCTCAACCATACCACAAAGATACATGCTCAACTATGTTCATAGCAGCATTATTCATAATATAGTCAGAACCTAGAAACAACCTAGATGCCCATCAACAGAAGAATGGATGGAAAAAATGTGGTACATATACACAATGGAGTACTGTTCAGCAGTAAAAAACAATGATATCATGAAATTTGCAGGCAAATGGATGGAACTAGAAAATATCATCCTGAATGAGATAACCCCAGACTCAGAAGGACAAACATGGTATGAACTCACTCATAAATGGATGCTAGATATAAAGCAAAGGATATCCAGACACAACACACAGCTCCAGAGAAGCTAGCTAACAAGGAGGACACACATAAGAGGGACACACAGATAGCCCAGTGAAGGAGAAATAGATGAGACCTACATGAGCAAACTGGGGGTGGGGAGGGGGTGGGGTGGTAATGGAGGGCAAGGAATGAGGGATGAGAACATAAGGGAATGGGAGGTTCGAGCTGGAACAGGGACAGAGTGGGAGAGCAAGGAAAGAGATACCATGATAAATGAAGACATCATGGGAATAGGGAGAAACAGTGCTAGGAAAGTTCCCAGGAATCGACAAGGGAATTGTTCCAAGAATCCCTACCTTAAACTACTAGCAATAGTCGAGAGGGTACCTGAACTGGCCTACTCCCATAATCAGATTAGTGACTACCCTAACTGTCATCATAGAGCCTTCATCCAGTGACTGATGCAGAGATCCACGGCCGGGCACCAGGCCAAGCTCCAGGGGTCCAATCGATGAGAAAGAGGAGGGATTCTATGAGCAAGGGAAATCAGTATCATGATGGAAAAATGTATAGAAATGGCCAGCCAAACTAGTAGAAACCCATGAACTGTGGACCAATAGCTGTGTAGCCCCCATGGGACTGGACTAGGCCCTCTGGATAGGTGAGACAGTTGCTTGAACTGTTTGGGGGGCCCCCAAGCAGTGGGAACAGGATCCATCCCTGGTGCATGAGCAGGCTTTTTGGAGCCCACTGCCTATGGTGGGACACTTTGCCCAGCCTTGGTGCAGGGAGGAGGGGCTTGGACCTGTCTCAACTGAATGTACCAGGCTCTGCTAACTCCCCATGGGAGACCTTGACTTGGAGGAGGTGGGTATGGGGGTGGGTTGGGGGGGAAGGCTGGGGGATGGGAGGAGGGAGGAGAGGGCAATCTGTGGTTGATATGTAAAATGAATAGAAAATTTCTTAATAATAACAATTTTTTTTTAAAAAAAAGCATGTGCCACCATTGCATCTCTTAATAAAAGTTCTGACAGAGTTCAAGGCCACCCTGAGCCTACATGAAACAACTATCTCAAAAAAGAAAGAGAGAGAGAGAGAGAGAGAAAGAAAGAAAGAAAAAAAGAAAACAAAACAAAAAGCCATATACAGTATCTGATCAATGCTACAACCTTCCTCCTCGACACATTTATTTAGGAATCTGGACCACTTTAGATCTGGTACCCACACAGTTATAAACAAGGAAAGACTCAAGCAGACTTCCCAGCAGATCACACAGAAGCTAGGGATAAGCTGTTCACTCTGCTATGAAGGAATCCAAGACAAAAGAACTGGGTACACACACACACACACACACACACACACACACACACACACACACACACAAAAAAAAAAAAAAAAAAAAAAAAAAAAAAAACCAGGCCAGTTGTACTTATGACTTACATGTTGACTGCTATCCAGACAGGGTGGTCGGTTGATTAACTGAGTCAAAGGTTTCCGAAAAGGAGACAGGAAACACTGGGTCTCGTTACTAGACTTTCGTTTCTTAGGAGTCTAGGAGAGAAACCAGAAAGTTACATTGCAACACCCAGACAGCCCCAGAGACCACCCTACTGGCAATCAGCCCTTGCGTGCTTATTAGAGACAGGAGTGGTGCTGAGCACCAGTAGTCCCAGGTATCTGAGAGACTGAGGGAAGCTAGCAGCATTGCTCAGTTGTTGAGTTTTTGTCTAGCAAATATAAAAACCAGTACTAGCGGACACGGAAAAAAAAGTGCCAGCAAGATATGGTGGCACACACCTGTAATCCCAGCATTTGGGCAATGGAGGCAAGAGGATCAGGAGTTCAAGTCCACCCTTGGCTACATGGCAACTTTGAGGCCAGCCTGGGCTACATGAGATCCTGGATCAACAAAAACAAAAGTAGTTAATTTCAGGCACCACTCTAAACTTTTTTTTTTAATGAAATTCCTTTAATTTATCTATTTTTTTAAAGATTTATTTATTTATTATATATACAGTATTCTATCTGCATGTATGCCTGCACACCAGAGGAGGGCACCAGATCTCATTACAGATGGTTGTGAACTACCATATGGTTGCTAGGAATTGAACTCAGGACCTCTGGAAGAGCAGTCAGTGCTCTTAACCTCTGAGCCATCTCTCCAGCCCTAATTTATCTATTTTTATTTTATGTGCATTGGTGTTTTGCCTGTGTGT